ACTCTGGGTAATTTTAACTATTTGTAATTATTTTAATTAACTGGAACGTGGCTATCTTGGACAAAGTGAAGTTTTGTGTGTTGGTGATTTCTTTTTCTACTATAAATGCCTCTGATGATGGCTCCGTGGTGAGCCGAAACATGTAAGGCAGGTGGTGACGAGGTGGAAAACTTAAAAAAGTGTCACATTTAACGGAAGGAACTTGATTGTCACATTAGAGTATTGTTAGTTTACAATGCCCATGTAGTGAATGTACTGACAAAAAAGATCGGCTCCTATCGGCCGCCAGACGGGAAAGTTCTGTAAGTACATCTCTCTGTTCATTGCAGGCGAGTGCAGCAATGGCAGGAGCATGCGCTGATGTTGCTTGCATATTGCAGTGCTATTGTGGCATTCAGAATAGCTCACTGTACGCTTGTATGTCACTTCCGCCTTCTCTTGGTTCTCCGTACATGACGAATGGAGGTGATAACTTCCAAGGAAATAACTGATGCAGCTGTAACTCTAATGATTCAGTAGTATCAATAAGAAAGTCGCATTCAGCTTTTCAAGAAGAGGGAGACAGTAAAATAAGGTCATGAGTCCCGTGGGACTGGGAACCAAGAATCACTCTGCTGGCGAGGGCCAGCAAAAATTTACCAGACACCTATTTTTTAAGACAAATGCTAATCCGTTGTTCGGTGTAATCCAGGTTCACGTTTTTTGTTGAGGATATTTCTTATTAGAGCTTCCCTCTCACACTTTTTGGAAATATAATAAATGGTTCGGCATTTGAGAGCCACATCAGAAGAACGGACTGCACTGCTCATTTCATGCAAACTGATATAGAGAATGGCCTAGGGTAAAGACAGTAAGTAAGAAAATGTATATAAGAAATAAAAGTTTGTGATGATGACATATTAGTACAATTATGTTTCTGGACATTATCCATCGTCCAGTTTTATCTAAAAACACCTTCCTGTGTCTTTTTCGAAACAGAACGTTTTGGAGACTGGATTATGTCTCCGTCTTCAGGGCCTTGTCTCCGGAGACAGGGACTAGCTCTATCGACTGGACCAAACTGAGTAGGTTTTACTTGAAGACGGAGTTACGACTGGTGAAAATCCAATAAACCCATTCACCAAACCAAACCGGCGTCTTAGTTACTGAAACACGTGACAGTATTCTCTTGTTTGTTCTCGGAATATGCAAAAAACAAAACAAAAAAAAAACGATAATTTTTTAAGTGCGCAGTAATTCCGCGCAACGAGGTGACTGTGCTTATTTGTACAGCTGCGGGTGTACGATATTACCCAGTGTTGAATCTTCACGCTTGACTATAATCTGCGAGGAAAGTCGGAAAGCAACTGGAAAATATAGAGTCTAATATTACACATCTGGACTACGGCGTCTGTCACTAACATCGATAAACGATCATGCCAAGTCCATAAGCTCACCTGTCACTTTAGAAACACACCAAATAACAAGAGAACGCGTAAGAATTATTTTGACCACTTCCTACAAACACAGTGGATTAAATGGAGGAAAAGATATTGTGCTTATAGACACGTTGCAATGCGGTGACTCTATAATCAGAGGCTGTTGCTAGGTAACGTCAGCAATAGGCACGCACGCAACAATAGAATAATGGTGTTTCCTGTGGCCCGCGCCACGGCCGTTTCTGGGCAACGGCTCGGTGAACACGTTTCCGCGGCAACGGACACAAATGCAACAACAGAAGAACAACTTTTTTGTGTGGTCCATGCCGAGCTGGTATAGCCAGGCCAGTTGGAGCACTAGCCAGCTGGCAACGACTTGAGCATAGAAACTGAAGAATCTCCATTGTTGAGAGCTGTTACTAAGCGACGAATAGGGAATACTAAAAAATGACTGAGTCTTAGTGTGATTTAGTGATTTGCAGAGTGTACACAACAGGAATAGCAGAGTAATTGCTTGTAGTTCCGAGTTGTGTGTATAAGTCATCAATAAATCCAAACCTAAATCCAAACACCGTCTATAGTCACACACATACACGTGACAATACTTTCGTAAGTTTTCTTCACAGCCATCATGTAGGTGTACCAGTGGAGATTCCTTTCTTTGAAATACACGCATGCGCGGGACTGCTCTCCGCCCCTCTCCTAAACATCATCTATTGGTAAATGCTTGCATGTGAATGTACTGTGTGTTTATTATAAAGGTTGAGTTTATAGTGGCTTTAGTTGCTTGAGAGGTCACGCTAAGTGCACGCTTGATACTGTTACAGCTCTCTGTATGGGTCACAAGGGGAAGGCAAGTTCTGTCTATTCTTACTTCTGTGATTCGACTGCAGCAGTTCCCGCGCGGGCGAGCTTTCAGTCTCCAAATCTGAAACAGAAAATTACACACATTATTAAAACGATTTCATTTATGCATTAATCTATTTTGCTATCTAAATGTCTGTGCTTAAGCACATCTTTCGAATTGCTAGTCAGATTTTAAAAACACCGGTTCTCGTCCGATCACCGAAGTTAAGCAACAGTGAGCATGGTTAGTACTTGGATGGGTGACCGCTTGGGACCACGAGCTGTTGGCGTTCCCTTTGCCGATCACAGTGGCCGTGCAGTCTAAGGCATGGACCGCCTTCGCCCGCTCGAACACGGGGTTCGTGGGTTCGAATCCCACTCGAGGCATGAATGTCTGTAGGTAGCGGCCTTGCGATGGGCTGACCCCCGTCCAGTGAGTCCTACCGTCTGTGTGTACGATTAAGAAACTGAAGACGCTGCCATGTCCACAAGGGCTGTACAGCCATAGATAGATGGTCAAATTTTCAGTGAAATTTTAAATTAATTTATGTTTTTTGGATCTTCAACTGATTAAGATGTTCTTATGTTCTGTTTAATTAAACTATATTATTATAAATATTAATGAACAATAGGAAATCAGTTGACGTGGCAACATTCTTGTAAATACTACAATTATTAGGTTATATGAGAGAGCCGGGGTAGCGTAATCGGTATAGCGTCTGGCTACGGGATGGATGAGCAAGGGTTCGGAGTTCCAGTCCCCGTAGGATCAAGAATTTTCCCTTTTCCACTTCGTGCGGACCGGCTCTGGGATCCACCCAACCCCCTATCCAATGGGCACCGGGGGCTCTTCCCCCGGGGGTAAAGCAGCCGGGCCGTGAAGCTGACCACTCACCTCCAGCTAGTGCCGAGGTCAAGAAAATGTGGATCTATACATTCACGCCACATACGCCTTCATGGCATAATACTTAATGAATTAAGTACAGGGACAACATTACCTTTTTTACCTGTTAGGCGGACTCTCAGCCTTGTAAACGTGCGAACAAATGTCTGAGGGGTCTGAGGTTCTCGCAGAGGTCATTATGAAGAGCTATATATCTTCTGGGATGTAGTGCCATGCAGTATCTTAAAAATCAACCTATGTTTCGGAGGAATATGTCGCTTCCACTTTCAAGGCGAAAGAATCAGGCAAGCAAGAGACTATAAAAACCAGGCAGCCATCAGAGGTTTGTTTATTCGGTTGACTTTCAACGGACTACATAGCGTTATATCTCAGAAGACTGAACCCGTTCAAAATCGCGGGCACAGGTGGACTTGCTGCTGACAGCAAACCTCACACCATTCTGAGGTGTGACGGATGAGAGCAAGAAATACAACGGTTGGTAATGCTGAGTTTCGTACAGTGAAGAAGGGAGTTGCTTATGCATGCCGCCAATATTGCCAACAACTTTTCTGGCATTTATATTTTAGTAATTCAGAACAGCAGTCCATATTAAACGCGGGGGCACGCGGTAGCGTAGTTGGTTGAGGCACTATGCTACAAACCAGAAGGTCGTGGGTTCAAGTCCCGATGAGGTGGATTTTTTTCAATTGACCTAATCCTTCCAGCCGCATTATCGCCCTAGGGTCGACTCTGCCTCTAACAGAAATGAGTACCGGGAATATTCTTGGAATATGCTTGGGGGTAAAGGGCGGCCGGCGAGTAGGGCTAAGAACCTTGCCGCCATCTATTAGCCGATTGTCTAGAAAATGTGGGAACCTCAACATCTCACAACTCTATGGACTTCCACTGCCTGTTACAGGGATAGCTGTAACTTTTTTGCCGTATTAAATGCGATGGGCTGATCCCCGTCCATAGAGTCCTGACGACTGTGTAAAAGATCAAGAAACTGAAAAAGCGGTTAAGACCCAACAAGGACTGTAGATATATAGGCAGAAAGATTGATATAGAGATACGGAGAGATAGATAGATAGTCCGTATTCAAATTAGCTGTACGTGTTTAGCTGCTAACCATATTCGTTCACAGGACGGACAGACCGAATGCAAGCGTACTTTCGCATTCTACGCACAGAAAAGCGAAAGTGACGTCACACGTAGTGGTGAACATGAACACTAATGTGTTAAGTAAACTTCTGTCGGTCTTGATAGCTGTTTGGACAGCCCTGCTGCAGATGTGTTTGTCATGTTGGTTTTGGCTTGTAGTGTCGTACTGTACTGCCCGATTCTTATTAAAACCGGCTGAGTGAAGCAGATGAGATGAGGGTGTGGTGTTGATGATGACGCAATGATGAGGCTCATGCTCGCTACCTCCTCCCTAACTGCGGGCCATGCAACGTGAGGACGGCTAGACGCAAACCGTGTGTCCTCAGTTCTGAACACACAGCAGCCTAGCTTGGCCACGGCCCTCTGGGCCCATTTTGTTACTTTGCCAGCAGTAGTATGTCCGACATATTTAGACTCTCATTGTGCTCATTGTCTAGGAGACTGGGCGGGACCCAAAGTCGTTCTGGACGCCTTGCAGAGGAAGAACATACGTGTATGTGCTCTTGACGGGTATCGAACCGAGACACTTCGATCGTACACTTCGTAGCCTAGTCGCTATACAGATTGATAATAACATAATTTGAAGCAACGCATTAATAGCTTATCAGATGTGATGTAGGTGGGTGGACAATATTAAAATGGCTCTTAGAGAGATAGGATGGGGTGATATGGACTGGCTCAGGATAGAGACTAGTGGAAGGCTCATGTGAACACGGCAATGAACCTTCGGGTTCCAAAAAATGCTGAGAAGTTCTTGAGTAGCTTCATAATTGGCGGCTACTCAAGAAGGGCACAGCTCTATGAAGTCAGTATAGTTAGTTTAAACGTGATGTGTCCATAGTGCTGGATATATTTGTTTATAAAGTGTATTCAGTTTCTTCTCCCATGGTGTGTTGTATGCTGATTGGGTATTTGTCCTGTGGAATGGCGGGGTACGTGTTCTGTTGTGTTCCTAATCATATATTTGCATCCGCCTACGTTTCTTTTGGAAAGGAAACAAATAAGAATAAAGCAGTACTGATTTTCGTCAAACATGTAATGACATTAAGGGGAAGGTTTCGAAGTCAGATGTTTAATTGTCCGTAAAATCTGTTTTGTTGTGACTGAAATGCAAGTGCCTATCGGTTGCAGCTGAAGATACGTATCAACTTCCTTCATGATTTCTTAGAAGAAACTCTTGAATAGTTGTCCTCGAGTAGAGACTTCTTGTCCAGCGGTGTGTAGGTGAGTCCATTTCCTCTGGGATTACTGTGATGTGAGTTTGGGTCTGACACTAGATGAAGAGGTTTGTTTTTCTAATGTTATTTGTTACTGCTTGCCGTCTGCAGACAAAACCACAGATTCGAGCTGGACTGGTTGATTAGTGGAGGTGTGACCAGTTTGTTGATTTCACGCTATTTTTATGTGTTTAGTACAATATTGGAAGCTTCGTTCCTTATATATTATCTGCTGCAGAACACAGAGCTGTGTAAGGTACTTCGGAGTTTGCTTCGTAAGAAACGAGAAGCTGTAAATAAATGAACGAGAACTGCTACGTTGATTTCTCATTCAGTGATTCGAGTTGCCATAAAGCCAGTGCGACTGGTGATATGTGACAGAGTAGCTGCACTAACAGTCTGTCGTGTCATCGCGTGCTGGGACGGTCCAGCCTTGAACAGCAGCAGTCACTTCAAATTTCAGCCTATTCTAAACCCAGTTTCATATTTTCCAAAAGTATGATTTAACAGATTTCGGATCGAAATTTACCGGTTTCCGGAACGTGCAAATAATTAACTGTGATCGAAAGCAAAAGTAAATTTCTGCACGTACCAACAATAGCCACCCTACACTGATGGTTTCACTTATTGCTCTCTTGTACTAGAAACACAGTTCCGAATAGTGTTAGAATTCGTTTTGTAAGATATTTTGAGAGCCCAGCATGCATCTTCTAATCCTCTGGAAAATAGGTGGTGTGAGGAATAATAATTCGTTTTAAATTCGCGAATTGCATGTATCTTGGAACGACAGTAACAAATGAAAATCATGTTCATAACGAGCTTGAAAAAACATTAAATTAAATGTAATACATGAGTTCAATATTCTATTTATTTCCCATTGCCGTGTCTAAAATTGTAAAATATTAAAATTTGCAAAGGAAGAACATGTTTGAGGAAAAAGTGCTGGGTGAAATACTAAGTCTGAGAAAGGGGCGTAACACGGGGACGGAGAAAATTACATAATCTCTATTCTTCAATAAACATTTCTAAAGAGATTAAATAGAGGAGGATGAGATGGCCAGAAGCACTTATTAAGAAACAGGAAATGCGTACAACCTGAATGGAAGAGATATTCAAAGCCGATTCTACAGAAGTAGCTATGGAAGATACGGTATGGTTTCAACTAGCTAAAATGGAGTCAAATAACGGCCTTTTATGAGTAGGGCCATGAAGTTCCAGGTTCCATAAATATGGGGATTTCGTTGACCAGTTGAGAACCGTGCAGATAGTTAGAATTGTCGTGGGCGAATTGAATACACGACTCATAGTGAACGTGACGCTCACAGTATGTTGACGTGTGGCATCAGCTCCGCCTCGAGCCAGAGAGCATTAGAACGGGTGATCCGTTCAAAGTTAGGTCTCTTGTTTCATTCTGTAGGCCGTAATGAAAATGCTGAGTACGTCTGGCCTGGCAAGTCAGGTGGTTGTGAAGGCCTTCGAGACAGGTGGCCGGCCGAGTATCGCCCGAGTGGATGAATATTCAGCAGCCCGATAGGACAATGATGGAGAATGGGACTCACTTCTTCTACGAGGCAAACAAAGATACTATAAGAAAAAATAACGACAAAAAATGACAAGTATTTAAGATTCAGTGTTGATCGTCTTTTCCTTCCCCTTCCCCCCCGCGGTCACTTCACATTTATGACTCCTACGTAGTGAATCAGGGAACATTGGCGTGCATTCAGGACATCCTGTGCAACTCCATATGTAGGATTTCTACATAATGCAACGTAACTAGAACTGATTACAGGTATAAAATTCCTCGAGCAGATCTCACGTTCG